ATACTCCGGCTTTAATTTCTGAAAGGCGATGCAAGGTGGGGCCCAAGGTCTAAGGGAAGTTAATGTCCGTCTTGGTCGTTCGATTGGCGACTCCCCCGAGAGGGGAAGAAGGATGGCTTTTACACTTTTTGTGGTGGGAAAATTAGTCAGGTGATCAATTGTTTTAGCAGGTGTGGGGTTAAAGGTAGTGATTGAATGGCAACAATATGACGAATTTTGCCTGTAAGTGTAAACTATGCACAGTTTGATCGTGAGAATGTTTATAGTTAAATAGAAAGAGTTATAAACTTCTCATGCACTTTATATTTTGTTTCTGTAGGTTCAAATTTCTCTAGTTAAAGGAATTTATTATAAATTTAAAAGATTAACTTCTTTTATGAAATTATATGAAATTCGAATTTCATACAAGTGTTAAGGTTCTCAAAATGTCCCTTCTGTGAGAATGGGTGTCTTTCCATTAGAAGTATCTGTACTGCTATCAAAGAGTAAAAATCAAGGATGAAGACTATATCACAACATATGGTGGGCAAAATAATCTCTCTCTATTCCAGCACAACGTTTAATGCGTGAAAAACGTTTTCGACCATTTTAAGTGATCTTCCTCAGTTCAAATTCGAACCATATAATGAACAAAATGGTCGAAAACGTTTTTAACGCATTAAACATTGTACTGGAATAGAGAAAGGTGTTTGTTTATTTTATTTAATTAATTCCAGTAAGCATTTATTTATATGGTGGACATTTTAAACATTAGAAATGCATGGTATTATCCACTTGTTATAAAAAAAAAATGTTTATAATAATACACTAGTCAAAATAATTAGAGGAGCCTGTGATTGCTCTTATTGAAGAGTGAAAAAAGTCTCCAACACTTCATCAGCAATATCATTGATTTTATGCCATACAGACATACTAAAAAGTCGTTTCTTTTTTTTTGGGCTATGCAGATGTATATGTTATGGACTAAATGATTAAGACAGGCATTATGAGTAATTACAAAATCAGACACTGTAAGAAATTTCAGGTTTTTTTTATCATAATTTACCAGATTGACCAGTCCCTATGAATTTCCTGCTCATTCCTTCTATTTTCCTGGTCAGGCATAGTTATCAGAGCCGGCCCTACCATTGGGCGAACGGAGCAGAGCCGCTCCAGGCGCTAAGTCCTAGTGGGCACCTCAGTGGTAAAGAAAATTAAAGGGTATAAATTAGGGGCAACCAAGGGATCTCGCTCCATCGCCATAATAGGATCTCGCTCCATCCTGAAATTCGTCTTGGGCCGGCACTGATAGTTATAATAATGATTTGTAGAGTGATCATTCAACATGTGCTAGCCAACGAGCACTTGCATCTGAGTTGAGCGTGTGTTGCATTTGTTACTAAATTTTAAATTCATGTAGCCAGTAGTTAAACTTGTGTATCATTTTAATTTTATTTTTGCCTCTTAAAACAGTGTTTTCTTCTTTGAAAAAATAAACAATTATGGAACCATCATTAAGTGATTTAAATAACCTCTTCAGCAACCAATTAAACGAGTTAATAGAAAAAAAAAGTCAGAACAGTCAAATTTTTACAAAATCAGTGTATTTGACAATGATACAAAAGGTGAAAGAGTCAAAAACCAAAGTGGCTTTGAAGTTACCAGAAGAATATCAGCATTTACATAAATATGACATAGTATATATTGGAGAAATAGAAAAATAAATTGTGCCTGTAAAAGAAGTTAATTTGATTAACCTTTGTAGAGAAGGTTAGTCTGATATGGTGCTATCACAATGTAATGGAAAATAAGTGTGGATATTTTTTAAGAATTTTCCCATGCGTTTTTCTTGTTTCCGTTTCGAAAAAAATTTTTAAACAGTTATGTCTAGTAAAGAAAAAAAATCTTTATTTTTTTTTCACGGTAATTTTTGGCTAAATTTTTTAATATCAAAAAAAGGCTGAAGATGTAGCCTATATTCTCAGACATTTTTACAATTTTTGGTGCACTGAGCATCCTACATAGTGATAACAGCAGANGCAATGTAAATTTATACTCATACCAAGACCACCTGACTAAATTCGTTCAACTATGCCTGTTAATATCAAAAAAAGGCTGAAGATGTAGCCTATATTCTCAGACATTTTTACAATTTTTGGTGCACTGAGCATCCTACATAGTGATAACAGCAGAGAATTCTAAGAATTTTCCCATGTGTTATTCTCGTTTTCGTTTTGGCAAAAATTTTTTGAACAGTTACGTCTAGTAAAGAAAAAAAATCTTTATTTTTTTTTCACGGTAATTTTTGGCTAAATTTTTTTGTAGATATCGATGTCGTTCTCCAGTGCCACGTGATTGCCCTTGTCGGGTATATCCATCTATCACTGCAGAGTGGTTAAATATTACATTCACACTGAAGAAATATTTCAGATATTGCATGATGCCAATACTGCTATTGGCCATGGCAGCAGAAACCATATAGAAAAAGAATTAAGTACAAAATATAAAAATATTACAAGAGAGATAATCATAATTTACTAGAACTAAATCTCTCAGAAAAAAACAATGTTCTTAAGAAAAGCTTGATAGTTAAACCAATTTTAAGTAATGAAATGAACTCAAGATGTCAGGTTGACCTTATATGCAGTCATGAGCCAATGAGCAATGTAAATTTATACTCATACCAAGACCACCTGACTAAATTCGTTCAACTATGCCTGTTAATATCAAAAAAAGGCTGAAGATGTAGCCTATATTCTCAGACATTTTTACAATTTTTGGTGCACTGAGCATCCTACATAGTGATAACAGCAGAGAATTCACCAATAATGTCATCAAAAAACTGTGTAGTATGTGGCCTGAGTTAAAAATGGTGCATGGAAAGCCCAGGCACTCACAAAGCAGGATTAAGTAGAAAGATGTAATCAAGACAAAGAATATGCTTACTTCTTGATTTGAGACTAACACTAACAAATGATCAGAAGGATTATGTTTAGTACAACAGATGAAAAATCGAGCACATCATACTGGTATGAAATTGCAGATATGCCATTAGATAGTGGGTAAGTTGATGGAACCCTCATTAAAATTGATGCCCTAAATGAATATGAAGCTGCTTTTGTTGACTGATGTGGAAACTATTTATTAAATATTATGCTTATATTTGGTCCATCATTAAAATATTATGTATATGCAAAATGGCTATGTAGCATTACTGATGCAAGTGTGTTGAAAAATAGTACATTGAGTTCATGAATGACTGCTAACACTATTTCTTTATAATATTATGATTATATTATGCATGACTGAAAATATTAGTGAAATAATTTATGAATCAAATTGAAGCAATTATTAAAACAGAATTAACCCAACAATCATATTATTTTATGGAAATATTATTATTATTTAATAGTATTAGTAACTTTTATAAAACAGGATATTTTGATAGAGTTATGAGTACAGTTTTATTTGTACAAATACTTCTGTAATTAATTGTATCTTCATATCATTTTTTAACTATAATTATTTAAAAAGTATAAATTTAGTAAAAATTATGAGTTGCTTATTTTAATGATATCATCAAAACAAAACAAAACAAAAATAAATCATAAAATAAATTGAATTACTCTTTATCCAAATGAATAAGAAAATATTTCTTTGAAAATTGTGATATCAATATTACTACTTTTTGCTATTACCAGTTCTGTACAGAAAAATGTATATTTATATGTTCATAATTAAAACCTGTAGGCCTATGTGGTTTTTCTTTACATTAATTCTTTTTAAAACATATATATATATATTTTCAATGTGTGTGTGTGTGTGTGTGTGTGTGTATTTAAATTCATGTTGATTTATATTAAATTTTACAAAATTAAATTGTGAAAAGCCATTTAATTATTTTTATAAATTTTTTGAAAAACAAAACATATTTCTCTTATAAATTAAATAAAAGAGTTAAAAAGATCCTTATTTTTTTATATCAATATCATTTGAATAATCATTAAAACCTAGTAAAAATGTTATTATTTTTTACAGTAAACATTCTATTTTTCAATAACAAGCAAATAACATTTCTTACTAATCCTTATTAATCCTTTCTTAAATTTTACTGCTAGATTTTCTAGTTTGTGAGTAATTTTAATATTATATTACATCAAGTTCTCAGTTGTTATTACAAGAATTTCTTCAGACTTTTTTCTTTTTGTTGTTTCAACTAAGATAAACCTTTAAGTTAAAATTATCACAGTTTTTTTTCCCTAGTATACTAACCTAAAAGAAATATCTAGGCCTAATCATATAAAGATATTAAAGTAATTCTTACTATCCTTACTAACTCTTGGTATGTATAATTATCAAAGTAATTGAGATTTTTATAGTCATTATTAGTTATTTCAATTAATTTTATTGAAAGTTTATTTAAATCATAAATCACTACTAAATATGAAGAGTGAAAACCTCACTCTAAACTTCTTAATTTTTAATTTATGTTGATCCTATAGTAAGAATAAGGACTTCCGATAAATCTAGAAATTCAGTTTAATCCATTAAATGCATGACTATTTCAACTAATACACAAAAATCTACATAGATATCTTATTATCACACTAAAGTATAGTCTTATTCTATAATAAAGTGGACAATCAAATAAACACAACTATACTTGAGTAACTACCTTATTATGAGAAGAAAAAGATTTTTTGAATAAATGGGTGAAGTTAGCTGAAATAGCTTTAAACATCAGTGAATTTGCAATAAAATAATATTTCTTTTTTCAAATTTCCAATATATATTTCTTTTTTTTTTTAATTAACTATTTATAAGAAAGTAATAGCAATTGTGGAAATTATAAAATAAAATTTATTAAGGCTATACAAAATAATATGACTTCAGTTGTTTCACTTCAAAAGTAACTATTACATTATACAATTGTTACATGCAACAAGCTTAGATTTACAAACAAAATTAATAAATTCCATGCACAGTGAAAAATAAAATATAAAATCAAAAACCATACTCACTTCGATTTTCACTTATTTCATTCTAAACCGATCATCATACATAATTTACTTTCAAAGACTAATTCTGAAGTCTGTACTTTATTGCAGCTCTCATGCTTCTCTTATCATTTTTTGTTTGCTTCTTAATACATTCTAATGGTGTAAAATTTCATTATTTTATTGTTTTAATAGGTAACAGATCTTATTACTCTAATTTATTCTTAAAAATAAAATTTTGACTGATTATGCATTGAATGCAAGTCAAAACAAATTCATAGTATTATTTTTAATATAAATGATTTCAGATTAATACATCAAATGATAAATAAGTGATAAAATTTTTATCATAAAATATTATAGATCTATAACATTAACAATTATAGTAAATTTGTTATAATTTATAGATGTAATTGACTTTTAACAATAAGCATTTCATCCAATCTTTATGTTTAAATATAGAGTACTTACAAATAATCAATTACAAATTATGGCATTAGATGATGATATAATAAGCCTCAAATAATAAATTAAACGCAAATTTGTTTAAAACATTTAGGCCTAACAAATGAATTATTTTTTAATGTTTTGAATAGTTTATTTTTTTTTCAGAAAGTAAAAAATTAAAATATTGTCAAATTTTTAATATTTGGAACACACTTTATACAGTAAAATACCTATCTAGACCATTAAAGTGATTATTATTCAAAAATTAATTTTCTTCCGTATAAAATAATCAATATTTGACACTATTTATACCTTCAAGATACAAAATATCGATGTAAATTCAAACTATAACGATATACGGTTTACAAGTAGTTAGGCCTAACTTCAGCCTTCACAACGTATTCGAAAGACAAATCTGCTTACAAACTAGTTTTTAAATGTTAAAGCGACAATAAATACGATTTTTTTCGTATAAAATATCTCAAATTATTACTTATTTAATTCAAAAGATCTCAATATTCAATTCTAATTAATTATTTTCCAATTTAGGAAATATATAGATCATCGTCCATTTAAAAATTAAAATATCGTTTCCGACTTAATAATTTTCAAGTATAAAACCAGTATTTAATTGCTTTTGTAATATAATTATTTTATAAATTATATTTCTAGAGCTTCAGATATTTATTGGGATTTTAAATATGAATATTTAGCTTGTGAAATAATGAAAATTATTTTGTTTATGTCTAAATATGTATTACATAAAAAGATATTTAAATAAACAAACACATAATTTTTATTTTTATGAAAACTGCTGAATTTTATTTACAATTTCAAGGAAATTACAAATCTTATTTTAAAACGTATTACCCTGTGTAGAACAAACACATATATATTTATTATACTTTTTGGATAATGCAAACTATTATTTTTTGTTAAAATAACAAATATAAAGAAATCCATTCATGCTTATTTAAGATATAAATTATATTTCTTTTGATCTTTATTTGCTTGAAATCTGAAATTTTAACACAATAATGCATTCAAATTCTAAACATTGTGAAGAATTTGATTAAATTTTATCCCTAAATTATTTGAAGATGAAAACAAATGACAATATGATTTACTGAATATCAACAGATAGGTCTACTATTCAATAATGTTTAATAATTGCTAAGAATTGAGAATTTTAAATATAAAACTTTAATAGTATTTTATAATAGATATATATTGTATTTAGGTAAAGTATTTAGATATATATCTGTTTATTTTACTTAAAACTTCACAAACTTGAATCAGATTTAATTACCAAACAACTGTTGTGAAATGTGTTAATTAGTTTGATAATTTGATCAATTATCAATTGCTTAATAATTAAATAATGCAAAAAAATAGAAAAGACTCTTATTAACAAACAACAGTAGATGACACCAAAATCATATAATATTTAATTTTTGTGTATTTATTTGATAAACGAGCAAAATAAATGCATTTAAATTGGCACAACTTCATCTCCAACGTTTTCATGTGGATTTAAATGCCCAACTGCAATTACTGTCAAATTACCAAAGACAAAAATCCAGTGTTTATACAACACTAGATTCCCTTCCAATTGTTAATACACGTGTCTGTGTATTGTTTTAAGGTGTGTATTTAAGAGAATAAACGGGGAATTAGATTTTTTAAAACTATTCTTTAGTCAGGTAAAGGGACTTTGACCGATAGTGACCGTCAAGTGTATAGATCAACTTACTTTTTCCACAGAAAATCCACAATGGTTTGATGTCGCTCTTTAATCCTTATATAGAAATGTTTAATAAATTCCTATTTTACGTTGATATTTTATTAAATGAACAGAAATATTAGATTGTAGAGATGTCATGTTGCAGAGAGCACTATATTCTATACGTTCTACTCATAAAAATGGCTGATGACTTTTCAACTTCTCTAGCTACTTTCATATATTTGATTAGACGCTTCATCTAAAGGTGCATAAAATTAGAACTGGTTCAAATTGATATCAATTATTATATATATAACTTCGTTTTCCTATATAATTTGCAATTTAATGTTGGTAAGAAAGTTTAAAGAAGAATTGGATCTATATTTCTAATGCGGAAGAATACATTTGTATTACAGTACATCAATGGAAACGGATAAAGATGATTGTTACACGATTCAATATTTTTCTATGTAAAATATTTATTTTAAAAAATTCATAAATTTCATTTTATTTCTTTCATTTTAATTTTTTTAACATTTATCTTTCGTTAAATCTATTATTATTATTATTATTTTTATTTTTCTATTTAATACATTTTAAGTTGTTATTTCCGTGATGAAATACCAATACATCATTTAAACAATTCCTAACAAATTTACAAAAATTCGAGAAATAATCTTAGAAAAATAAGAATGAAACGAAAAGTTGCAAAAGTTTTTAATAAAAATCTCACATGCTTTTAAAATAATTTAAATATTTTTGAATATAATCGATTAACGTTTTCGAATGTAGTAGGAATTTTGAATTTTATTTAAAGACAGCTTATACGATTTTTATTTTGGTTGCTATAAATAATCTTGCAAAAAGTCGATTAATTCGAATAGTGAAAAGTTTGAACACGAAATAATATTAATTTTTTAATGGTTTTGTAAATAATTTATAGATTGAATTTTTCATTTAATTAAAGTTTTGAGATTTTTCAAAATTTAATTTATAAAATAAAATAATCTTGCCGATCCGTTGCTAGTAAAGGGTTTTAATACAGTCGGAAAGCCAATAACATAGTCTGTTTCATTTGTAACCGACTATGTTATTGGTTTGCTTATCCAGTTGTATTAGAGACGCTTTACCTGATCGCCTGTTAGTTACGGGTTCGAATTCCATTTTAGCAACATTATTACAACAAAAATTGTAACATTATCATAAAAATATTACAATTTTCGAAATTAATTTATTTCTGTTCTGTTTACTGCAAACGAAATTTTGAAATAATTTTAACGTTCTTGATTTATATAGCTCACTTCGCGTTTCTCTTTTTTAAATTATTTATTTTGAGTTTAGATGTATAAAATAAACATTTTTATATTATTTTGATTTTATAAAATTGATACAAACCGATTTTGAAATCCTCATGTCGTAGTGAAATTGGAAAATCCTTGAAACTTTGCAATACGAAATTTGAAATAAATACAGTAGAGCCTCGATTATCCGACCCAATTGGGGACTGGGGTTGGTCGGATAATTGAAAAGTCGGATAACCGAAAAGTATGAAAAAATCCATTATTAGTGTAGTATATTATTATATCCCATGTAATTAGTATATTAGTATATCGCTATTAACCTACTTCGCGTTGAATTTTCATCGATGTTAAGCCTAACAAAAATTTTTTAAAATAATAATCGTCGCTATTGTATCGTTAAAAATTATAAAATTAAGCCTCGTTTAAATACTGGCTCCCTTTCATGGTCGAATGAGTGTTGACAGCTAAAACACGTAAAAATAATATTAAAGTAGCCAAGACATAGCCAAATATTGTAGCGCCACATCACTAGCGGACATTTGAAATTTGCCAACTAGGACGGTCGGTTAATCGGGGGTCGGATAATCGAGGCTCTACTGTACATGTACTGCATATTGATCAAATTTTTCATTGAGCCTTCTTTCGAATTATTTTTCTAATTATTTTAAAATAGAAGTCATTCGAAAGAACTCGACACCCAAGTGAAAATATAAGCTAGACCCTGTTGTCGAAATATAGCATGTCCTAACTAAAGATATAGTTTGATTTGTTCTCTTGAAGAAAAACTCTATTTTGTGGAATAGTTTTATAAAAATTACAGAAAATAATGATACAAACATCTGTGATACCATATAAAAATTAATTTAATACTTACAAGATTTGATTTATTAATATATATATTTATTTATTGACTCTTTCCGTCCTCTTGGCACTAAAAGGATCTCTCTTTTCCCATGTCTATCATGGATTTGGCCAGACTCATAATGGGATCGGGTGATGAGGGTCGTGGCCTAACGTATCCGAGACCTATCATCCGTGAAAAATCCCAGATATGTTCCTAATCTGCACTTGTAATAATAATTACTTTATTATAGAAAAACATGACACTTTTCTATTTTGACTTTCCAAGACATCCGACGTGCTTCACACAATGACTGACTCTTCGCCGTATCTATGTCATACTTTTAGAATGTCGACCACTACAGGGGTTCCAGAACTGGGAGGCGATGGCTACCCACTTTTTCCCCTGCTAAAAATCAAAAAAGGTTAAAACGTAAATCAGAAACACAATTTACACAATTTTTATTTAGTTTTTCTGTGTGTAAAAAATATAAGGGTTGTTTCAGAGCTTAATAAATAGATATATTTAATATAATATCAGTTTTTAAGTCGGCGCTGACCTCCACTAAGAATTTCTTCAGCAGCTCTTAACTTCACAATTAAGATTGAGGCATGGGAAACGTCAGGATGTGGAAACCACATAGCGGAAGGTAGGAGGAGGGGATATTATTAATTCTGTCATTACTCTCGAATATCGATTCAGAATCATATGAAGATTCGACAAGTTCACCAGAAATATCGATGTCTTCGAAATTACTGTAATCCTGTTACAGGTTGATTTTTCTCACAGCAACATTCCAAGTTAGGTGACGAAAGACTTTGTCGGGATAAAATCGTCCGACATACGATTTCCCGCACTTTTCCGTATTTTCAAACGAACGACGGTTGTCACCATGGGAACGCCGATCAGACAACTTCGGAAACTCGACCCGGATTGGCTGCAAGACATCGTACGACCAGCGGACGTCTTGTAGCGCTTCTAAGTGATTGGTGGAATTCCATTTCCCTCAATCCGTATAAAAGGATTGAGTTTAGGCGGGAAGTTTAGTTCGGGCTATAAATTTGCTTGGATTCTCAAATTCGTTAAAAAAACTTTGGCGCGAAATTCAACCGCCATCTTGGTGTGCTCATTTCGTTCCTCGATTTCAGTGATTTTAAGAAACTCTTTCCTGCGACTTTCGTCGACTTTACTACAGAACCTTATTCTTTAGCTTCTGGTCTTCCTCTTTGATCTCTTCTCTGCCCAGGTAGGAGCTTTCCTCTTTCTTTCTGCCGGAGTGGCTAATCCTCCGGACTCGGTAATGGCGTCGCCCTCGCGCGAGCGCCTTGGAAAGCCACCATCGGGATCGGAAGCACCCACTACCTATGACGAATTTAGATTTATTTCTCCTCTGTCGGAATTGGAGAAACTCTTCTCCATCCGTTCGTCCCTTCCCTCGGATCAAATTTATACGATTTTTCTAGAAGGACAGGGACCTCTCCGACGTCTTCGTCCGGCCGAGCTCCACGCGGCCCTCAAACTGCATTTCCCCCGACCGGAGTTGCTGCTAGATGTCCGCTACTCCCGTAGTGGTCTTCTAATTATCAAAACTCGGGATCACCAAGCCGCAGAGGCGGCTCTTCATATTCCCGATATTGCCGGAATACCAGTCCGTGGCCGTCTGGCCCCGGACTGTGCCCAAACCGCTTATCTCCTTCGTGGGGTGGACCCGTCGATCACAGTCCAAGAAATTTACGAAATACTTTCGGATTCCCACCTTCCAATCCTAGAGATACGTCGTTTTACACGACGGGACGGGGATAACATCGAGCCTAGCTCCACGGTTTACTTCTCAGTGGCCAGTGCTTCCCCACTGGAATCTGTTACCATCTATTACCAAAGATACCACTGTGAGCGATATATTCCTCGCCCACGCCAATGCAGGCGATGCCTCAATTTTGGCCACTCGTCCACAACATGCCGCGGCCGCCGCAAATGTATTACTTGCGGGGCTGACCATGACCCGGTCACATGTACTGCCGCTGCGGCCGGCTGTGTGCGTTGCGGAGGAGAACATTCTGCTGATTCTCCCCGCTGCCCAGCCTATCAGCAAGAGGCACGCCTGTTAAAATTCAGCGCCATCCAGCGCTGTTCTTATCTAGAAGCCAAGCGCTCGCAGAGCAACTCCCCAAAATCATATGCAACAGTGGTCTCAACTTCCCCCCCAAAACCGTCCGAGAGGACCCCTCGTTGTGAAAAACAGCCAGCTCTTTCTACTATTGGACAGACAGGTGACATTTTGATTCTAACCAACCGTATTTCCCAATTGGAATCCGTAGTGGAGAAGTTATGCGCGGAGTTAAGTCTTCTTCGCTCGATCATTCAGCCTAACCCGCTTAACCCTACTCAGGAGTCCCTCCGTGAACCGAGTCTGAACAAGGATTTGACTGCATCCACGTCAAATAAGCGCTCTTCCCACCCGGTGGGCCCTTTGACTCCTGCCCAACTCCCAAAGAAGAAGAAAGGATCTAAACCTCGTCCCACCGATCCATTGGCGGCATCCGACTCAGAAGGTCAAAATTCCGACATGGACCACACGTACTCCACGGGGTCCACAAGTGTAACTCCCCTAGAAGACTCCTGCTTTGCCTCCCCAGCCGAGAAGGCTAAACTTCGCCGCCACCCGCCCAATACCCCCAAGCAAAATGTCTAATCCCTCAAGCATTTTGCAAAATCTCCGCTTGATACACTGGAACGCGAGAGGTCTTCGTTCTAAACGTGATCTCCTTTTGGCGGCATCTTGGCTACGTACCGTGGACATCATCCTGATACAGGAGACGTGGCTAACTCCCGAAGTGGTCCTTTCCATTCCAGGATTCACTCTCTTCCGCCAGGATCGCACCTCTGCTCAGGGAGGGGGTCTCCTAACAGCGGTCTCTCACCGGTGGCCCGCCCGCCAGCTGCCCCCTGGTCCCAAGATCACCGGCATCGAATATCAAGAGACCTTGGTATACTTTTCACGGGCTCCTCTCTCCCTTGTAAATGTATACTCCCCACACGGCGTCCTTCCGGCTGTTTCACTGGACCCCCTTTTGAGGGGCAATCACAACCCTCGCATAGTGTGCGGGGACTGGAACGCTCATCATCCTTATTGGGATAACGAGTGCAATCGCCCAGACATCGCGGGCCGCACCCTCTTCGATTGGTTCTCATCTGCGAACTTATGCTGTTGGAACTCTGGGGAACCAACTTATTTCCACTCAAACGGTTCATCAGCTATAGACCTGACCTTCTGCTCCCCGGACCTATTAGGTTCTGCCATATGGAGCCCTTGCGTGGACACCCTAACCAGTGACCACGCTCCTATTTCGATCACCCTATCTATCTCGGGCACCCCTAACCCGACGTCTACCCCTCGTTTACACTTTTCAACAAACTGGAGCCGTTATTCAAATAACCTCGATCAGCGTTGGACTACCGAGGAATTGATTCCAACTTCGTATAACGCCTTTGTAGACACTATCCGTGAGACGGTCTCCTCTAATACAATAATTCGCTCCATTCCCTCGGGTCAACCACCGTGGTGGACTCCCGAATGCAGTCGCCTTAGAGCGCTTAAACGTCGCGCGTTCCGTCTAGCCTGCAGGCGGGCGTCTCTCACCTGGTGGGATAAATATAAACAATTAGGAGCGAAACTCCGTCGGCAGACCCGTCAGGCTCGTCGGGAGTGGTGGGGTCGTTTGTGTGCCTCTCCCCCCTCTCCATCCACACTCTATCGTATCTTCCGTCGTCTGAGATCCCCGCCGGCGATCACGGACACCCAACACATAATCCAAACGACAGACTACCTACTCAGTCCCATCCAGCAGGCGGAAGCCTTTGCATCCTTTTTTGGGCGTACCCGCCCAAGGGGCACCTTTGCTCCCCTTGATGATCCCCGGCTAGGGGCCCCAAAGTTTGACGATTCCCCCTTTCATCTCCTCGAACTTCGCCGGGCCATACACCGTCTTCGGAACACTACTCCTGGCCCAGATGGCGTAAGATCACACGCCTTACGGACCCTCCCAAAAGTGGGCCTCTCGGCCCTCCTCAATCTCTTAAACAATCTCTGGGCCTCAGGGTCCTGCCCCCCAGACTGGACCTCCTCTACCGTTGTTCCGATCATTAAACCGGGTCGCCCAGCGACGATATGCGCCTCTTATAGACCGATCTCTCTAACCTCTCACGTCGCAAAACTATTTGAACGGCTAATCCTCTATCGTATCCATAAATGGACCTTTCACTCTGAAATCCTCCACCAACACCACTTTGGCTTTCTCCCCTACCGAGGGGTAGATGAGGCCCTTATTACGTTACACCACCATATAGCCGTGGCCCGAGCAAGAAAGCACTGGGTGTACCTAGTCGCACTCGACCTAGAAGGGGCATATGACTCAGTGTGCCAAGAAGGACTCCTAGCTAAATTAGAATTTTTCGGTATGGGAGGGAGACTCTTGTCCTGGCTTAAATCGTTCCTATTACATCGTTCTTTTCGCGTCCGTTGGCGCGGAGTGCTGTCACCTCCTCACGCCTTTATCCAAGGCGTCCCCCAGGGGAGCGTTCTTGCCCCCATTCTATTTACATTATACATGGCAGACCTTTGGACCGCTCTCCCCTCCAATGTCACCGCCGTCCTTTACGCGGACGATCTATACATTCTCACTTCGAGTACAAGGCCTTCTCAAGCAGCTCGCAAAGCTCAATTAGCCCTGGACCACCTTGAACACTGGGCAACCACATGGAGTTTATCCTTTTCTGCCACTAAAAGCGCTTCCGTCGATTTTTCTGCCAAACTCCACCGCCCTCCACTTACTTTGTCTCTTAACTCAGGAAATATCCCTCAGCGCCCTTCTCTCCGCATCCTCGGTCTTCATTTTTCGCACAACTTTACTTGGCACGCCCACGAGACTTTCTTAAGAACCAAAGTGACTCGTGCCGGTTCCCTCCTCGAATTTTTTGCTTCTCGTAGTAAAGGAGCTAGGAGAGCCGACCTCCTCCGCTTAATCTACACCGTCCTTAGCCCGATGGCGGAATTTGGCGCTCCTCTCCTGGAAGGGGCCCCCCAACCACTATCCGTCGCATCGAAAAACCCATTCACGAAGCCCTTCGCACAGCCTTGGGTGTGCCAAAGTCTACTCCGCTCTTATCTTTATATGCCGAGTCAGGCTACATTCCACTCCAGTCTAGGCTGCGTCAGAAAGCTATATCGCACGCCATCACTCACCTCTCAAGAGGCCACTATAGCCCTCTCTACAAAATTTTCAGCACAGCTTCCAGTCTAGACTACTATCATTGGCGCCCTTTCCAGGTCCCGTATGCCTCTAGGGTTCTCTCACTGATTCGTCAGGAAGGTCTACCTATCTCTCACCTATACCGGCAAAAACACGTACCCCCGAGCCCCGTGAACATCCAACCTAGAATTCGTCTTGACGACTTTCCAAACGCTTCCAGCCTACCTCCGGCAGCCTTGAATGCCCTTTTCAATCATTTACATTCTACCAACTGGCGGGGTTGGACTCTCATTGGGGCAGATGCCTCAAAATCACACCTACGGACGGCCTTTGGAGTAGTTCTTCCGGCTCATACGGTCAAGGAAACTTGGTCGCTACACACGAGCTGCAGCGTCTTCGGTGCGGAGGCTCTCGGCATCCAACGGGCAGTTAATCTCAGCGCCCGTCTTAACACTCCGACGGCCATTGTCTCGGATGGCAAATCAGTTCTCCAGGCAGTCGCCAACGTCAATTTTTCCTCTCCAGCGGTTATTATTGACCTAGCTGCTACCATCAGCTCTCACCCAACACCCCTTGAAATCGGGTGGACCCCTGGTCACGTTGGCATCAACATAAATGAAGAAGCAGACCAAGCCGCTAGCCATGATACTCCCATCGGCTCCTGGTGGAGACCTCTCATGGCACGTGACCTCATACGTCAGATGCGGGAATCGATCATCCGCAACTACACCGACACTTGGTCTACCATTCTTCGGGGAAAAGGTCGCGACCATCTCCGACCTTTCGCCCCTTGGATATACCATCACGCCTCGTCTCGCCACACAGAAACCCTATTGGCTAGACTTCGAACAGATACGGCCCCCCTGAACAACTTCCTCTATTCTCGACGCCAAAGTGCCTCGCCAGATTGCCCCCACTGTGGCTCGCCAGAAACCTCCGCACACTATTGGCTTGTCTGCCCGAAATACACACAGGCCCGTCAAGAGCTAGGCCGTCTTTTAACCTTGGACCTCACGATCGTCCGCACCTTAACTCCGATATACTGGCCTCATACCGACCTTCCTCCTCGCCAACATATCGAAATCTTGGAGCGTTTCGTTCACCGCACCAACCGCTTTACCTAATTCCAAGCGGAGTAATTCGGAGAAAAAGCCAATAGGCTAGAGTCTCCATATAAACAAGATAGAAAGAAAGAAAGGGAAGTTTAGTTCGCCTAGGATATATCACGGGGACTCACGTTCATCTAGCTTCGCCTAAGCCAAGGGTCGGAATTAGCGGCTCGCGAGCCGCATGCGGCTCTTTGCATAGACGTTTGCGGCTCTTCGGACATAAACTCCAATTTCACCGCAGCCTTATAACTTATGAGTTTATGAGATAGAGTCGTACGCCGTCCGCACATGACCATACTCGCGTTGATCAATATGTGTCGCGTAAGAGTGGTAGCATTTGAAGCATATCTATATATACAGTATAACACATTGAACGCGTGTCCGTCCATCCGTGTAACGTTATGCCAAAAACGTCCACTAGAGGCGCCCCTGTCGTGTGTCGTATTTCGCACATTTAAATTAATATGCGGCTCTCTGGTACTTTTGTTATTCTGTTTTCATGACAATTTGGCTCTTCTCACTTGAAAAACTGCCGACCCCTGGCCTAAGCTGGCATAGAGGATTGTTTCATCTCTCTGTGCGGTAACTAAAGTTGAAGGAGTTCGTCGCAAGGTGTCCTTTTCGACGGACCTATTGTCGTGGATTAAAAGTATTTGAACTTTGTTACACCTTACATTTGTAATTGTTGTTTGTGAACTTTTGTAACTGTACATACGTTTTACTCGTAATATAAACGTTTTGTGAAAATTCAGTAACGTCTCGTATATCGTATATCGTTGTGAATTTGACTGACTTTATTGTAGCAAGTTTCAAAAATATATTTACAATAAATGCATTTCGGGCTAATGTAGCGTTTTAGCCCCTGTTCAGTGATATATGAGAATATATAAACAATTTAAAATGCCGGTACACACTTTCCAATTAAAACTTGTATAGCCGAGCTGTCAAGGTGGCAACATACCGCTCTGGGGGACCCGGGTTCGAATCTGAACGGGTCGAAAAATCCCCAGGAATTTTTCGGGGGGTGGTCCGTTCGGATATGTCGGGCCCCGTCCCTCACCAACCGGCAGCCCCATTGTGGGCCTGGCCGAACCCATAATGGGCTTGCAAAATGAAGCCCTCTTAATGCCTACAGGGCGAAAAGAGTTAAATTTAAAAAAAATGAAAACTTGTAGTATAAATAATAGGGCAGAACATTATTAGAGGAAAGCAAGATAATGCTACAGTGTGCCACGGCCGCATTAAGTCGGGAGGCAGACAAAATTGGTCTCAGAATAAACGCCGTGAAGTCGAAAATTGTGCGTGTATGTAACATTACCCAAACGCGGGGAGTAATTGTCGGAACACGACGATTTGAGGAGTGGAGAGATTTCCCTACTTGGGTAGTGTTATTTCCCAAAATGATGACGCGGAAATGGACTTGAAGTGACGCATCGGAAAAGCGGCGACAGTCTTTTGCGGATAAA